TTCTTCCTTTGTTATATATATACCTTTAATTTTTTTCTCTTGCCTGATTACTCTGACAAAAGTGTTTAGAATTACTTTGAACAGCAGTGGTGAGAGCTGACATCTTTTTCTTTTTCCTCTCCCCATTTAATAGAAATTTCTTACCAGGAGCTGGGGATTTAGCTCAGTGGCAAAGCGCCTGCCTGGCAAGCACAAGGTCATGCGTTCGGTTCCCGGTATCGGACAAAAACCAAAAAAACCAAAAAAAAAAAAAAAAATTCTTACCGTATTTCACAAATGGTTTTAACAGAGAGATTTTATTTTCTTCTATCTATATTTTATAAAATTTTTTTTCATTAATGGATTGTAATATTTATCAAAGGTTGAAATTCGTTCATTTTTATCCTTAGTTCTTTATATGCAGCATATTACATTTTTTTAGTTGAGTGAATCCTACTTGAGCTTGCTGATTTGGTGCATTCTATTTGCCATTATCTTCTTGAGGATTTCAGTATTTATGTTGACTAAAGAGATTGATCTGTTGTTCACCTTTCTAAATTGGTCTTTTTCTACTTTGGGACCTACTAGCAAGAATGATTTTGGGAATACTGTTTCTCTTTCAATTTTGTTGATGATTTTAAGGGGTATTTTCCTTAGATCTTCTCTGAAGTTCTTGTAGAATTCAAGAGTACATCCTGCAGTACCTGGGATTTTCTTATTTGATATTCTTCAACTTCATTCTCCAGTATTGGATTATTCAGAATTTTTATTTGTTGGTGATCACTTCTACTGCCCACACTTTCAATACAATATTTAGTCTCCAGGATTTCTCATTGAAAGTTTTCATGGACAGTAATTCTTTTTAAATTGTCCTTTTGCATTTTGTATCATTTAATCTAGCTCAGTTAGTTTTAATTAATGTACTTGTTAACTCCTTGATTATCCTGTGTAATTACTTCATTATCTCTATATTTATATCTTCTATGATTCTGCTGAGATAAACTGTGTTCTTTCTTCTGAACTCCTGTGTTACCATTCCAAGTAATTCAGGTATGTGACTTAAGCTGTTCTCTCCTTTGTAGTGCTCTGGATGGTATTCGGAGGAGTTTGAAATTTTGGAAGCTATTTTGGGGCCCTGTCTTCTCACATTTTGTATTTGTGGTCAGAGGAGTATGTATGTGTTGAATTTTGAGGCACTCAGAGTTGAAAGATTTGTTGCTAGAGACCTGTTTGTTTAGTTTGCTTCGAAGATGTAGTGCGGGTATACCTAACAACGGTTGTTTTTCTGTGGCCTAATATCTGCCCCCTCTCATAATTTGGAAGGGGAGGATACACTGCAATTGGTTCAACAGCAAGTTCTCTAGCACTGTATCCTGGCCCTGTTAATGTCACAAAGGTAATTTGGGAATTGTCATAGAGTGAAAACCCATTGATGGTAACAATTATGTGACCCTGGCAATGTCAAGCAAAACAACTGCAATAGTATCTTGCAATACAAATTAAATATTAAAATACAAATGGAAGCAATAATGTACCATGCTTAGCCAAATAAGGCAGAAATCCACAATAATAATATAAACATAAAAAACCATATATTGACATACACCTAATACGTATTATTTAAAAGTATTACATTTCCTCTTATTGTACAAAAATTCAACAGTGATTTTGAAGTGTTACCTAACTGTAAATATTAACAAATCCTAGTGTTTATACTATTAAAGATATAAGGATCTGGGAAAGGGAGAATGCATGAAGAAAAATATAAAAATTCAAATTTTATGATATGAGAAGGAAGACAGGGAATTGGAACAATTATCCTACTATGAACTAGAAGAATGCTTATAGAATTAGATAAAAGTAACAGAAAGTACTGGTGGAAAATTGAAGATAACAGAAAAAAAGGAGAAAAGAAATTATATAAAGAATAAAAATACAGGAAAATTAAAAGGAAAAGGAGGGGGGAAATAAGATGTGAGAAATAGATAAGAAGAAATTTCTTTGTGACTTTAAGTGAACATTTCACAATCTGCACTTTTTGCATCTAGAAATTCTCCATTTTCTCAGACACCCATCTTCTTTCACAGGCTATAGCTGTGTTCAAATCGAGAGGTGTCTCTGCTCACAGTGGTAGATAAGGAGGGCAGCCAGGTACCAGATCCGTGCTGGGTACAGGGAAAGGAGAAGGACTCCAATAACCAAGCCAAAACTTTCACATCCAAAGCAACTCAGTCTGGCCCTGGCCTCCGGTCAAAGAGGGTGGGCTCTGTGCTCTCCTTATCTCAGCTCAGACCCTTCATGGTGTCTCTTTCCTGCTCCTCCTCTGTCCAGGACGGTTTCCTGAGACTGCCTCTCACCCAGTCACTGTGGTAGGGTAACACTGAGAACCCTGAAGTCTTCCCATGGCTGTTCTGAGTCCCTGGTTCAAACACTCCACCCTTCTGCAGAATGGAACCCAAACACATGCACTCTCCAAGGATATGGCTGGCACCTACACAGTGGACGCTAACCCACTGCTTCCCTTGGAAGGACTCTGTGAGAGCAGAACTCCACACTGCCCTGTAGATCACGGCACCTGCTAGTCCACGGAACCACCTTTCCTTCCTGGGACTTCCTGAGGACCTCGGTTTCAGTTTATTTATTTATTTATTTATTTATTTATTTATTTTGGTTTTGGTTTTGGTTTTTCTCCGGTACCAGGAACCGAACTCACGACCTTGCGCTTGCCAGGCAGGCGCTTTTTGCCGCTGAGCTAAATCCCCAGCCCCTCGGTTTCAGTTTAGTTCTTCAGATTTCTTCAGATTTTCCTTTTCCCATGAGACAGAAGCCACAGAGAATTGTTTTGTTTTCTTTTCTGGAAAGCACTGTGGTATTTGTATTATTTTTTTTACTTGTGTGTTTCTACTTTTGCTGTCATTTCCTTATGGATTCCTAGGAATCTACTTGTCTTTATGTTTTTCTGTTGCTTGTTTTTACCAACTTAAGATTTTCCATATTCTGAATTCTAAATCGTGCAAAGGCTTAATTGCTATTGTTAACCACTCTGCTCTTTGACAGCACTGAAGGTTCATTAGGTAACCCACACCTATAAACAAAGTGACACGTAAGATCCTGTCTTCCCCTATTATCAGCTTGGAGTTACTGGTGAGGGGTCTGCATAGTATTCCTTTCAATTCTGCAATGTGGATTTATTGAGCAAGAAGTGAAGACACTGCTCCAAAGGGCAACTGCAATTCCACAGAGGTAGCAACAAATGATTGGTAAATGGAGGAACCACGTTTGGGCTTTTACCTTAAGATTTGAGGTGCCTGCTATCCAGAAAAAACACACCCAGAGGCGTGTGCTCGTCCTCTGGGTCAACCTTCAGAGGCCCTAAGTGGCATGCTCACTTCGGGCTCAGGCAGGAAGGTGGAGAGTCATCACAGAGATAGGAGCAGGTATGGCCAAGAGGAAGATGGAGAAACAACAGGAGCACAGAGGGGTCACCTCACTTGTGACCTCACTGCTGAGACAACATACCTGACATCTGCAACTCAGTGGAGGAAAAGTTGACTGGGGCTCATAATTTATAGAGCTTTCAGTCCATTGTCAGCCAGATCCCAGGTAGAACAGCAGAAGAGAAGGAAATGGTGGGAGGAAAGCTATATATCCCAAGTCTTACAGGAAGCAGATGGTGAAGAGGGCCTCCAGGATGGAAGATACAGCCTGCACTATCACACACAGTGAGCCTGCTCATCCTAAAAGGGCCCACCTCCTGAGAGCAGGTCAGCTGTGAGCCCCTACAGGAATTCAGCTTCTAAACGTTCTGCCTATGACCCCATGGGCCTTCAGGGTGAAATCTAGATTAAACCATAACAGGGGTCCTGAATCACAGGGAGATGGGCACAGATCCTGCTGTCAGCAATGAAGTCCTCATGAAGGGGTGACAGAATGGACGCCTTCTGACTTCTTTGAGAACCCTAGAGATGTCAGGGGCATGAGGAAAATTTTCACAAATGTTCTGAATCATTGGTCTCAGAGAGCTCAAGGCCTTGGTACAAATGGGCTGAAATTCAGGCAGCAGAAGTAGGATGCCAGAGATAATCAAGGGGCTAGGTGAGGTAGAGGTCACCCACTCTCCTGAACACACCATACGCTAGCCTCACCTATCCCTTTGTCATCTGTTGTCAGACCCAGGAAACACAGGGACACTGGCTTCCCCTCACTTTTTCTTTAAGTGTCTCCACACATAGGGTTTAAATTTCATTAAGGAAGCCCTGGATCATCCAAGGGAGAACCTCAGACTTAACCATTTATTCAAATAAGAAAGGATCAGGTTCCTGCTCCTAGGCCACGTGGACTGCAATTATTTTTCGCACCTCCAGCTGTTGCCTCAAGGAACTCTGTCCATGTGAGTTTCTCCTTTACTGCTGTTTGTACCCTATCAAGCAAGGAGACACTTTTTTTCCTAGGAGTTTGCCTCGGGCCAGTAAAGGGCTGTGGTTCAGGTCCTGCTCACAATAGTTGAGGAACTTGAATGAGCACAAAGGGGACCATTCCCCCAGAAGAGCAAGAACCACACAGGGCCCAGCCTACCCCTCCCATGAGGGTTGGAAGACAGGGGCTCTGCTGAGGTCTGCAGCCTGAGCTGTCCCCCATGTCCCTCATAAGAATTCCAAGAAACAGGAGCAGAAAGTCTTGGTCTGAGGAAGTGTCCACAGATCACAAAGCAGAGGAGGCCCAGGAGTCAAGGTAAGGTGCATGCACTTAGTATGCATCTATGGCGCAACCCAAAAAGGACAGAGAGGAGTCCTTTTGCCCAGGCTTCCCAATCACTGTTGTCTGTCCAAAAGACTTCGCTGAGGTTAAGCTGCAGCATGAGGAGGAGTTTCACTTCCTGACACAGTTCTTGGAGACACTGCCTTCTAGGACAGGACTCTGGGAACACCACGCAAAGAGAAGACCAATAATGGATCTTTCTGGGAGCTCACAAGTATACTCTTGTTGGGTGAGAACACTCACACTGTCCCTCTCTCCTCCAGGTATCTGAATCCTTATCACCAAGTGCTTGCTGTCCCTAAGGGTACACAGCACATTTTCCTGGCCAGAAGACACAGCTCAGAATGCATAGGGGAAGCCACCTTGTCCAAAGAAAGTCATGAGGACTGGTAAGTGTGCAGGTGTTGAAGGCTGTCAGAAAGGAAAAAGGGCCCACCGCTTCCTCTGGCTCCCCCTCCTCCAGTACCCAAATCCCTGCTGCATCAAGTGAAGTGTGCTGGGCGAGGACACCACGTTCACCCCAGAATCCTCAGGGTGTGTCCTCTCTCCCCCACAGCCATGGCCTCCAGTCAGAGCAACCGATCCAGTGAGCACTGCATCCCTCAGGAGGAGGATCTATGGACCTCCCCAGACCTACTTGTCCTTCAGTTGCTGTGCCCTCTGTACCAAGATAAGAAGCTAACTAAACTGGTGCCTATCCTGCTCCACAAGTTTCAAAACAAGAAGCCTATCACCAAGAGGGAAATACAACATAATGTAGAACCCCGTCACCGCAGGGACTTCATCCCATTATTCAAGGCAATCTGTGAGTGCATGTGTCTGGCCTTTGGCATTGATGTGCAGAAAGTGGATTCCCATAGCAAAAAATATGTCCTTTTGCCCATCTTAGGCCTCACTTATAATGGGATGCTGGGTGATGATTTGCAGAGCATTTCCAAAATCAACCTCCTGGTAGTCATCCTTATCATCATCTTCTGGAAGGGAAACCATATCAGCGAGGTGGATTTAGGGGAATTCCTGAGAAGAAGGGAAATGTTACCTGAAAGGAAGTGCTTTGTTATTGGGGAGCCCTGGGAATTCATCAAAAAGGATTTGGTACAGCTGCAGTACCTGGAGTATAGGCAGGTGCCCCATAGTGATCCTGCTCAGTACGAGTTCCTGTGGGGTCCAAGGACCCATGCTGAAACCAGCAAGATGAAAGTCCTAGAGCATTTGGCCAAGGTGAACAGGCGCGATCCCGGGTCCTACACACATCTCTATGCCGAGGCTTTGAGAGAGGAGCAAGAGGCTGCCCATTCCTGTGCTATGGGCCAGTGAAGGGGCAAGGTGCCAGGCAGACACAGGGAGTGCTCCTCATCACATGGCTGTCTTAGTTCCCACACCATGTGAAATGAGTCCCATTCTTCAGTTCGTGTTTCTGGATATCACATTTTTCTAAGTACTCGAGAGCCAGGTGAGAAATAAAGTCCCATGTACATCATCTCTATGTCTGTACCATATGGATGACTTCAAAATAGACACATATATTCCTTATGATATTTGAACTGCTGCTCCTTTTCTGCAATTTTGACATCACTTGTAAATGTTATTTGAGTGATGGTAGTGATCACATGTATATTTTTAATTTGTGATTTTGAAGATTGATTGTGATATCTAATGTCAATGTGATTTTGTGTGGTATTGATCACACAGGAATTTTGCTCTTCTTTCCAAATGTAAGAGTCTGCTATTTTGTCAATCCAACTTGGAAAGTTTTCATCTTATTTTCAAGAACATTCCATAGATTTTGGTAAGACTTTGCATGGAAATGTGAAAGAAGTTTACATCAAGTTAAATGGAGTACAGGAATAGATATTGGGATAAAAATCCTTGGTCTCTTATTTCCTCTTAAATGTTGTCCTTTACTATTAAAATATCTGAATAACTGAGTATGCTCAGTTTATTTAATTATCTGAGAGAAATGTACCATCAATAAAGAATCCTTTCTTCTCACGGGCACATTGACCCTAAATCTTTATGCACGTGTGGTCTTTGGAAGGCCTTATGTCTGTGGTGGAGATATGAGTACATCAGACTCAGCAGGATCAAACCTACCCAGTGAGATGGTGGAGCCAGGACCTAAGGAGAATGAAAATGCTCCCTGAGTCGGGGGGAATCTATCAGAGAGAAGCTCTGGATGAGTACTGAGCCCTGGCAGTTTGTTCCTAAGTGTAACTGCATTTGCTTATGAGGAAGTAGATTTGAATGCAAATGCAAAGTGGCAGTGCACACACTCAGGTCAGGTGTCCCAGGCCTGAGGTAAAAGGCTGAGAAAATGGAAGACTGCTCTGAGCAATGCTTTTTGATGGTGGGTGAAGTGAGGGGAATATTCAATTGGGACAGCTATGAGAAGAGTTGTTCTATGCAGGGCCCAGACAGAAGTCTTGTCTCCAGCATCTTCCAAGAATTCCTGAGAGACAAGTGTGAGTTGCAGGTGAAATGAGGCTCTGAAATCTCTTGGCAGAGGCTCTGCTCTGGGCTGGGAGTGTCCCCTTCCCAGGGTCTGGCAGTGCCCACTTGACTGCTTTCTGGGGGACAGCTTCTCCATGTGAGTCCACTTCGCCTGAACCATCTTACAAGGTGGCTCTTTCAATCTGGTCAGCGTGGTGAGCCTCTTCTAGGAGGCTCATCACTGCCTGAGCAAGGGCTTGTCCTTCCACAGAGCCTTCTCATGGAGCCTTCCCCCTGTCTTGTAGCAGAACTTAATCTGGATCGGTTTTCACCCTTTTCCTTGTGAACAATGTTTATGCTCTTAATGTTACAATGTGTAATTTGTCTTCAAGATCCACGGAACTGCATCTGTGCTGAGCTGGCCTGCCAAAACCTCAGCAGCCAGCAGGGTCCTGAGAAAGGGCCTAAGGGAGATTAAGAAAAAACTAGACACACAGTAAAAGGAAAGCTTGGCCCAGGTGGGACCTGACTTCTCTGATTGAGAGGCAGGGACAATCCAATCAATAGGTTGCCTCTTTATTTATACATGATAAAATCATGAGAAACATGTCATTAGCCTGAAAGTGCAAGGTCACCATGTTTTGCTGAGAACACTTAAAATGCAGCATTTTTAAAACTACCTGTGTTGTAGTTAACAAGGAAGAACACCAAGGCCAGACACCTGCTGGACTGGCCTTGCTCTAGTCCCAACAGCTTGTTTACACGACTAGGCTCTCCAGCTCTGTGTTCTGAGGGCTGACCTTGCTCTATCCCCCAATATGTAATTGACCTCCAGCTCAGCCACTCCACACACTTACCTTGTCACTGGAGTGGCCGGGTTTTAGTTTTCTTTGTCATAGAGGCCTTATGAGTTCTAAAACTAGAGTTTGGGTGAAGGTGATTGGACTGAAAATAGTGTTGTCAGTGGTAGAAAAGCTGGGAAGGAAGGACATATGATTCTTCACCCAAGATCCTAAAGCCACGAATTAGTTGTTCCCAGCAAAGAATTTCTCCCCAACATCAAATCAAGTAACATATCCTCTAGTAGATAACGCATTAGGGGAATTTATTGTTTTCATTTTCCTATTAACCTGAAGCTTACCTGGGAAAACCACACAAATTTGATAGGAAGGGCTTGATGGCCTCCATGGTTAAGCAACACCAGGGGAATGCTGGGGATATAGCTCAGTGGCACAAGCACCTACCTGGTAAGCGCAAGGTCCTGAGTTCAATCCCCGGTACCACAAAAAAAAAAAAAAAATCAATTGCAGGACCAGTGTATCAGCAAGTATTCAACACAGTATGTCAGACATTGTCCTAGATGTTCTAATACACTGTTTGCATCCCACAAGCCCTACAACCAGATAAGTGTGTCAAGCCCATTTTATAGATGAAGAACATGAGGCCTACTGGGCTCTGGATCTTCTTAGGATGTCTGTGTGGTAAATGGGAAGACCAGCCCTAGATTCCTAGTATGAAGTCGTGTAGTGCCCACTCTGTTCTCCTTGCTGCTAAGGTGATCCCATCTCTGATTTTGAATCTACTTCTATTCTCATGGTAATGAAATGTATCTCCTGCATATAGAAAGACCCTGATTCCAAGGTCCTGACACATGCAAGGCATTAAGACTCTAAAAATGAGCAGGTGATGGAAGTAGCTTTCTCCTAAGGGAACTACCCAGAATCACCTGCCCTGACCCACGTCATGTACGAAGACTTGTCTGTCACTTTGCTCCCCGTGGAAAACTTCTGAGAGCACCAGTCCTTTTGACATAGAAAGTAACTTTCAGCTAAGATGTTTCAGCCATTGATTATGTGACTGAGAAGCAAAATATCACACTCTCCAACTTTCCCAAGTGGGTGAGAATAATGTTGCCATGAATGTAATATACTACTTGTCTTCCCAGGTACATTACTATGCTTTTCGAAACTATCATGACATTTTTTTTTTGGATTTTAATGCAATGAGTTACTAGAGAAGTTTCATGTACCACTTAGGTATGTGGTTGAGCTTATACAAGTGTTCAAAACCCAATGATTCCTGATAAGCTATTGGAGGCAGGACAATGCACAGCACAGCAAGAAAAAGAAATTTATCTGCTGCAGGTGAACTCCTCTAAATCCTGATGGCCACTGAACAGGTGGGAAGTTCTTTGTGTTGATCGCAAAAATAAATAAATAATTTAGTTAATTAAGTAACTAAATAATTAATAAAATATTCCTTTTCTAGTCTCGCACGTGTGCCTCTCTCCATTGGCAAGTCCTGCTTCTCAGTATGCCTGATGGCACTAGACCTGATATTGAGACAGTGACCACCATTTGTCTGTAGGAATAGTTCACACATTATCAGACTGGCCATGAATCAAAAGACAGGAGAAAATTCTCAGCCTGTTAAGACTGGAGGTTACTGTGCAGAGAAGAACAGGCAAGGGCTAGTGAGTGAAGAGCAAGATCCCCTCCTGCTAATATTTTTAGAATGATACAAAGTGAGAATTATTCTGCATCCAAAGCATTTCTCACAGAGTAGGTGAGCACTTGAAAAGGGTGGAAAACACCCAGGCTCATTTCACTTTCTCAAACTCTTCCCAAAAAGGTAGAGAATAATATCGTAAGATATCTGTGTTTTTTTTTAGTCATGCACCTACAATGAACCACTTATGATGAAACTACAAATCCTCACTAACCAACAGCTTGTCTTTACCTCTTTTATAAGACATGGGAGCATTACAGTCCAATTGTCATTAAAAATGTTCACTAGATTATCCTTTTCCTCAGGCATACTAGCAAATCCATCTCTTATTCATTACAGCCACATATGTAGGAGGTACTGCATGAGTCCTGGAATAATATTCATGCCATGACCTCACAGCACCCAGACATCCTTATTTCCACACCTAGGAGGGTCAGCTATGCATGTTTCCTCCCTCTGACAGGAGCGAGCTGGTTCTGTACCTTGAAGGCCGTAAGCAGCAGCCGTCTTGCCTCACAGGAGCTGACTGCAGAGTTTCCTTCGTGCCTCCCACTCCCTTCCGTTTTCTGAGCACACCTGTGAATGCCATAACAGCTGTGATATCCTCCCCAGTGTGAACGGCAGGTGTGGCCCAAATCACCCAAATGCCTCTGCTGACTGGAGGGTTCCTCCGCCTGCTGCTGTGCCCCATTGTCCCGCCCTCGCCTGGACCTGGCCTCAGTCTGCCCACTTTGGAGCATTATGCTCTCTATGCCCCTACTACCACCCGCTCAGGCCAGGCCAGGACTAGGTGCTGATTGTTACAGACAAATAACTCTAACTCTGCCTGAAGATCCCTGGCAAGAATTATGTGAGTGAGTTCTTTCTCTGTGATTGCAAAGTAACCAATTTATGCTCTCAAGAGAAATTTTCAATGCGCAAGTTTCTCATTCCACATGAGATGTATTAAACAAGAAGCATGTTTAAAAGCTGCACTGAAAGCAAGCCACTCACAGCCAATCATCTCAGACATGAGCCTTGATTTGAATAGACACTTCTTAGAGGAAATTCAAACTGCTCATTCTATAGCAGCAAAGTTCCCGTCCTTTGAGAATCACTCCTCAAGGAATCTGGTTATTCTTCTCTTAAAGCAGTTCTCAGGAGCAATGATAGTGTATCAGTATTGTGGCATTTATTGCCATTGGCTCCTAAACCAGAAGTCTAATCTCCTGCCATTCCAGGGTGCCTTTGATCCCAGCCAGTACCTCTTTTGTGCGTGGTAGTAGTGCAGGCCACTTGAAGTCATAAGCTTAGATTCATTTGTTTTCAGATGACCAGGTCAGAGGAGGCCATACATTTCGGGAACAAGAAAATAAATATTGACTCAAAACTAGCTCAGAGGAGGTGCAATGGCTCATTTTCCTGGGATCAACAGCTCACCTTGCACAGGTGGGCAAGGGCTTTTTATTGTTAGGAGCAGAGGGGAGAGAGTGCACAGGAAGACAATGTAGAACTCCACGCTGTCTTTGTCATTTGTAGCAGTCTTCAGCTTGTTCTCCCCTTTCCTGAGGGAAGGATACCAGACTCCAGGCTCTTGGAGCTGGTGACATGTGCATATTCTGTCACTTCTTTTGGCCTGTGGAAGGGGGGAGGTGCTGCATATGTACTCAGCAGGAAGAAGTCTGGATCAGTTGTTTATCTCTGAAAAAAAATCTCAAACTTTTGAATTTCCATTTTGCATGCACGTTACAGGAGCACACTTGGTGTTGTAACACAGACCTCCTTGCTCAAGGTTCTGAGCCCTTTCCAGGCTATGAAGTGTGACCTTGCCCACTTACCACAGTAAGCAGAGAAAGGATTACTGATATACATGCAAGGGGATCACGGGGAGATCCCTTAATTCTACTATGGAAGCGCATCCCTGTCCTCTTCTGACGAACATGGTCATTCACACGCTACAAGACTGTGACTCCTGTCTGCGCCTGTTGTCCCAATCCGCAAGGACCACATGGCCTGAAGGTGAGCGACGGAGAGGGTAGTGAGGTCCTGCTGCCCTGGTCTGGCAGGTTCAGATTCCAGGGT